AGGCCATCACTGACCCCTCCCTCCCCCCTCTGTTCCTAGGGGCTTTTTCCCTGTGGCCTTTGGCTTCCTGGTCAATGCCTTTAACATCCCCTTCCTGAGTGAGGTAAGTGCCTCGTGCATGTGGCTTAGTGGTGGGCCCCGGGGGTGGGGGGAGCACACGCAGTGGGGAAAACTGCTGCCCCAGGTACAGTGGACCCGCCCCATCTCCCCCTGCACTCCCTTCCCCAGGCTGGCCTGCCTCCAGTCCTCTTCCCCGCCCTGCTCCTTCTCCATTTGACAAAGGCCCTTGAGCAGCTGTGCCTAAGACAGTGGTCGGTAAACTGTGGCTCGCAAGCCACATGCGGCTCTTTGGCCCCTTGAGTGTGGCCACGAAGTTTCAATCGCACTGTACGTGCACGCCCGCACGTGGTATTTTGTGGAAGAGCCACACTCAAGGGGCCGCAGTTTGCCGACCACTGGCCTAAGGAATAGGGATAGAGGAAGGAATGGGGATAGAGGAGGGATGTGGATGGGGATGGAGGATGGTGGCTATTAATAGCTCTTGATTATAGCCAAAGAAACAGACACTGAGAGTCTAGGGGACCCAGCCAGAAAGTGCCAGAGCTTTCTGGGGAGCTGGCTGAGTCTGGGCCCCGGACTTGGAGAGGATGTGTGACAGCTAACGAGCAGAGAAAGCTGTGGCAGATTCTGTCCTCTCCTTGGGGCAGGCGTGGGCAGTGGTCCCCAGTGCCCCCCCCCCCACCCCGCCCCTTGCTCTTTCTCGGAAGCATCTGACAGAATATGGGCTCTCTGAGAAGCCCAGCGAGGGCCTTCAGCCAGCTTCCGGCACGCCCGCCAGCTGGGCACATCCCTGCAACCCCCTCTCCCTGTCTGCGCTTGGCACAGCTCCCACCTCAAGGCCAGCTCCCTAATAACCCTGATATTGCGTCTGCTCTCCACCCTTTGTCTGGAGTAATGACTCTCGGCTCCCACAGCTGTACCGGAGGTTTCAAGGCAGCAGCTCAATGGTCTGAGCAGCAGAGATGAGCTCCTTGGACTTGGATCGTTGGTTGAGGGGGCTGGAAAGGAAATGGGGCCACCCTCTCGGGCCCCCCTCCTGCACTGACTCACCTACCCCACACACCCGGGCCTCTCCGAGTCCAGAGGGAAGGATGGCACCAAGTGACTGACCTCGGATTCCCAAGCCGACGCCAGAGGCCGTGGGCACTGTTGGGAGCAGAGCTCCAGGGCCCCACAGAGCTCGGACTGGGGCTGGGACCACACCCCACTCTGTAGGGGAGAAAAAGCAAAGATTAAATCCCACGTTGTGTGTGTCTGACACTCGAAGTCAGTGTCTCGGGCCTGTTAAGTCATCTCCTGATTCGGGGCATCTCAATCTATACAGCAAAGGGCAGGCCTGCTCTCAGCGGCTCATGTTCATCCTGATGAGCGACAATGTGTGTGCAAGCCCCTTTCGCAGAAGGCATTAGACAAGTGACGGTAGAAATCCTGTCCTGGCAGGAAGTGCTTCTCGCCCGGCCTGTAGGTGGATGTCTGCTCGGGACACCCCCCAGGCGGAGCCTGTGCCGGGAGAGCTTTCTGCCTGCGGGTAGAGACAGCCTCCACCTTCGGACAGCCCTAGTCTGACAGAAGGAAGAGGCTCTGTCCCAGGAGCCCCTGGTCCAAGGGTAAAGACCATGACTGCAGGCCCAAGAATGAGACCAGAGTTCCCCGCAATGTACATTAGGGTGCCCCCCACAATGTGTACACACTTGAGCAGCTGGTAGCCGTCAATGCAAATGAACTGTATTTTAACAAACACTGCCTTCGTGGTTACTCACAGTGTGTGTACCCATTTGTGGGGACACCTGCACATAGTAAATGTCTTTGAGGGCCTCTGTGTCTGTACTGAGCATTAAAGTGGGTGCTGAGGGGGCAAAGGGAGGGGCGTCTGTCCCTGCTTCCACGGGGGAGCACAGCAGTTACAAATGCCATCATCACGGGTGCCAAGCCCCGAAGGCGGGTCCTGAGAGCAGCGCCTTCTGATTCGCTGTTGCCTGATAGTCACTTCTCACCTTCCCATAGCCCTTACCAGGCCCGGGCCATCTTAGAGCGACCATGTGTTCTGTGCCCTTAGCTGCCTACAGGTGTTACCCATCTGACAGAGTTAAATCCACCCCAGAGCCCTGAGCTGAGCGCGTGCTCAGTCACTGTTTGGGGAAAGAAGGAAGGAAGGGAGGGAGTGAGGGAGGGGAAAATGAAGGACCCCCCCCTCCTGCGCCCAGTTGCAGATTACAGCCCAGGAGGGAACCCCAAGGCCAGCTGGCAGATCTGGGAGCACTCGGGGATCTGGAACCTCTGGTGCCACTGTGCCCGTCTCCCCGCCCTCCTGCCTTCCATGCTGCCCACTCCACACTGGGCGTGCCATCCTGGGCATGCGCGTGGCTCTTGTCTGGAGGGTACTCTTCATGCTGACCCCCCACCACACGCCTCCTCACACAGGCCACTTCCACCGTGATCAGCGCACAAGGGTCTCCTGGTGAGCAGGTAAGGGAGGAGCAGGAGGAGGATGGGAGAGGGAATCAGAAAGCCGGCCT